TCTCCCGTGTTCTCTCTTCTATTCACGTTTAAATTTGGGGGTTTTTTCCTTCTTTTTTTGTATCTAATTCATATTGGGAGGTATTGGTTTGGAAATAAGCTGTTAAATTTCTCACCTGTCTTATTAGGCAGAAAAATAAAATGGAATCATTTTGAATTAAAGCTTCAAAAAAACCCTCCAGGTAAGCAGTGTTCCAGTGTCGATTAATATACAGTAAACTATGATTTTTCTATAAGGGTACCAAAGCATTACTGATAAATTGGTGTTTCTGGCTAACAGGAGATTAACCAGAAATATTCTCTGTCTTTTCCTTATTGAATATATTTTTAAAATGTGCTGGTCCCCTTTCCTACCCTAGAAAGAACATTGAGAATGTAATTGAATCTTGCTTTGAAGTTTGAGGATCTTATGGTGCCACAGGGTCACTGTTCTGAGGATGAATTCTGATTGTACGTTATAGAACTATAAATGGAGACGGTGTCAGAGATTGGACTAAATCTGTCCTGATCCCAGCTTGGAAATTGTTTTCTTCTTTTGTTAAATCCTCCATATTAGTATGTTTTGTTATTCGCCTCCCTTGTTCTCTAAGTTGCAAGCAACAAAATAGAAATTCACTTCAATTTGTTGGTTCTGGTTAATTGAGGTTTACTTTTCGGGAAAATTTCAACCGGAATCTAAAGCCTTAATTCTTTCTCTAGAGTTATAGAGAATGTAAAATTAATCTCAAAGATTCATGAAGGCTGTTGTATTTACAAGTAAGTTATGGACTGTAGTACCGTAGCATTTTGTAACTTCTCCCCTGTGTAATGGTAGATAGAAATGCCAGCTAGTTTTGTCTTCTTTAGATATGTTGAAGGGGTATCTTTGGTAAAGGACTTGTAAATCTTGACAGTTAGGAACCTCAAGGATTAGAAGGAAGACTTTCAAGAATATCAATAAAGAACATTTAGATTCCCCAAAGGAAACCTTCTCTCCAAGCTTAGCCCTTGGTTCCCCAAACCAGTATGGAAAGCATTCTGGAACCACACCGTCAGAAGCTGACTTTCTCAGGGCTGTCCCACTTGACTTAATGATCGTCTGTGGTCATCTTGTGATATCTTTGATGTCGTAGTGTTGGAAATTCAGCTTGGGAGTCTTGGTGTTCTTTTGTGTCAGCCCAATTATTATTATTTTTTTTTTGCTTTTGGAGTAAAGACATCACGGAGATTGTTTAAAGAAATCCTTACACGAGGGGAATGGGGCGTGATGAGAAATAAATATACCACAGCTCATGGTTTAGGCAGGCTCGCTTTTTGCTCTGGCTTTTACATGCTAATGTTAAAAGGAATTACAGGTAACAATTCCCTTGTGTTGGTGGAAGAACAATTTTTTTTTCTAACTGATGTTTATGGCCTCACCTGACACATCATTATTACAAACTGTCGTATCACATTACTTGCGGTGGCACACTGACAGTGGCGTGGCACTGTGGTTTCCCAGTGGATGTCTCGTCCACAGATCTGAGGCCCTGGGGGCCGGCTGGGGAGCCCTCTGCAGTGCCCACCGACAGCTGAGAGTACGGGTTCCCCACAGTCTTGAAGGTGCTGGAGGACTGTCCCAGGTAGTTTCTATACCAGTGCTGTTTCCCCCTGAAGCTCCATCAGAGGCTGGAAACGAGTAGGAATGATTATGGTGCAGAGGATTTATAATCTGCCAGCCTCAAATCATCTCCAACAACGTTACTGAGCATTTGAGTTTGATTATGAACTTTCTTAAAGCGTTTTGAAACAATTGGGAATTTCCTACATCCGTGAACGGGCCATAATAGATGAAACTCTTCTGGGGGTACGGGGAAGGGCGCCACTTAGTGCGGGATCCTCAAGCCTGTGAAAGAGGCAGCGCACTGTTAAAAATACCTAGCTTACTTCGGGGGAGGATTTGGCTGAATACTGATGAAGTTTATGAAATATGAATGTAGTGAAGTTGCTGTACGTAAGTGGTAGGCGTGTGTGAACGAAGTAAGAAGAAATAAAATTGTGTATAAATGACACCCTGAAACTTGATGGAATTGTATACGTGACAAGAATGGTGACGTTGGGGTCTGTGCTTAATGGAGGAAAATAAACTGGCTTAAAATCTATATGTCAAACTAGATGTGGGACTAAAAATTACAGTATATAAAATCATTTGACTTATAAGCAAAGAATGCTACCAGGGAGAAGCAGGCAGGTTGCAAAGAATCGAGGTGAAACAGAATGGGGGAGAAAAATCAGGGACCAACACTTGAATGTGTGATGAGGTATGGTAATCACTGTTTTAAATAATCCAGACTATTAACTACTGTGCTGCTAGGTAGAGAATTTGTTATAGCCAAACAAAAGGCATAAATATGAATTTTAGGTTGTGTGGGAGAAATCTTCTTGATCCCCAAAGCGTAAATGCATGGTACTGAGAAGCAAAGCTGCACACGAAGTAATTTTTTCTGTCTTATCCTTGATTAATTGACAGCCAACTGTATGCCTCTTTCCTGAAGGTGACTTTACAATCTCCAGACACAGACATTTCTCTCAGAAGTGGAGTGAAGGAAGGAGACCCACAAGCTAAAGTGTGTTTCGCTGGGTGAAGTATTTTGAGGGGAAAGATAAGACTGGTGAAATTGGGGAATGGAGTCGTGCCTACAGAGATTAAGAATGCCTGTTTGGGGCTGGGGAGTGGGGGCTGTGAATGAAGGAAGGGAATCTCTAGAGGGAAAGAGACTTCTATGCAAAGGAAAATGAAATTAGCATTGACTCTGAAGTGGCTGGGAATGTGACTTTCTAATTTTAAATTATCTTTAACAAGGGCAATGAAAAGAGGAAAAGTTGACACTTTGAGAAGTTGTGCCGAACTTGTCGAGAATGCCAATTGACAAAGCAGGTAAGGGAATATTTGGAAACACAGAACGAGAACAGGTGTCAGGGGCACGATGGTCTGCTTCCTAGGGCGTTAAGGGAATTGGTGGGTGTGTTTATTGATTCTTCCACTTAGTTTTAAAGAAAACTGAAGAAGTGGACAAAGACGGAGAACAGACAACCAGACGTGATTCTGCCCTTCCAGAAGCCAAGAGGCTTATATCATCCGGTATGATCGATGCCAGTTGCGGGGAGGAGTGACTGTAGAGAAGTCAATGGAATTTCAACATACAAATCACAGAAGAAACAAGGGTATATTTAGCCAGTCTAAAAACTCTTCAATAAACTGCATTGCTTTTCATTTTCACTGTATAATTATAAAACCAGTGGATGGTCAGAAGGCTACTGTAACAATATAGCATGTACTCCTAGGAACGTGTGTGTGACAGGGATATTATATTTGAAAGGGCAGGGCAGCTGGGAGGGTGAACTGCCCATAACTCTCAATTGTCCAGGTAATGAAGCATTGGGAAAGCAAAGGCAAATGAAATACTTTGATAATCAAAAACGATTCTTCTTTTAGTGATCACATTAGTTGACTGATGATGATAAATGTGAAATTGCCAGAGTTGTATTTTACCATTTCTTTTTTTATTTTTTTATTATTATTATTTTTTTTTTGTGAGGAAGATCAGCCCTGAGCTAACATCCATGCTAATCCTCCTCTTTTTGCTGAGGAAGACCGGCTCTGAGCTAACATCTATTGCCAATCCTCATCCTTTTTTTTTTCCCCCAAAGCCCCAGTAGATAGTTGTATGTCATAGCTGCACATCCTTCTAGTTGCTGTATGTGGGATGCGGCCTCAGCATGGCTGGAGACGCGGTGCGTCGGTGCACGCCTGGAATCCGAACCGGACTGCCAGTAGCGGAGTGCGCGCACTTAACTGCTAAGCCATGGGGCTGGCCCTATTTTACCATTTTTGGCACTCACGACCCACTTTGGAGGAGCACGTTTATGCAGAAAGTGGGAACCTGGGCGATTTCTGTAAACCAGGCTGTTAACCCAGAAGATGTAAAATTTCACAGTGTGAAGGATGAAGGTGGAAGATTAGTGAGGTTCTAAACTTTCTCAAGGCCCCACAGAGAATCAGTAGGAGAACGGATGCTATGCTAAAAGGGTTCTAGAAAGTTCTAAAGCTCGCTTTCTTATCTTGAACTAGTATGTGGTGCTCACTCATCATGCTGCCACTGGTCATGTTTTATTAGACTAAAGCCTGTTAGAGCCAAAAGGGGCGTTATGAATCATCTAGCCTACCTCCCAGCCCTCCCTACCGTTTAAACTGATGCTCACAGAGATCTACGAATGTGTCTGAGGTCCAATTGCTAATAAGTAGCAAGGCTGTGACTAGAACACAGGGCTTCTACTCCCTTACCTAATGTTCCTTCCACTTATACGCTGTGCCAGGAAGCTGGCAAGTTCCAGTAAAGTACAAAATCAAGTTCCTGCCCTCCGGGAAAACCCCCTGAGGATATTATGATATGTACACAAGTTAATCCAGCATTAGATGGTAGATATGTCTGAAAGTAAGCACAAGTTATTTTGGCTATGCATCAATAGTGGAACTTTATCAATAATTGTTACTTTTTAAAATCCCACTGGGCATTTTTATTATTAGTTAAAAATTAGCCAATGAGATTGTGGCTGTGTCAGTAAAGCTATCCTAAAGCGTAGTGAAAATAGTGCCTGCGTCTCATGCTCTGATTTAGTAGACAGTAAAATACAGGATATGGAGTTGAACATCTTGTGCTTAGTGCTTGCTGGATGGAGCTGGATGCAGCCAGGGGGTGCAGTGGGGGAGACGTCTCTCATCAGCAGTCTTCTTTCCTCCAGGCAGAGAGTTTAAGGCTGTGACTTTTACAGAGATGCTCAAGAGCAAGTCTGCGAATGGAATACAATGTAGCCAGTAAAAATCCCTTTGTGGTAGAAAAATATTTCTTGACAGGCGAAAATGTTTGTGATCTATTGCTTAGTGAAAAGTAACAGCTTTCATAGTAATGAGTGCAGAGTGACATCATTCTTGTAAAAACTGTTGTGTGTGTGTGTCTGTGTCTATTAACATGGACCCACATATACCTAAATGATGAAATCATAAAGTAGTCATCTCTGGGTGGTGAGGTTATCTTTGAGTTTCTTTTTATTTATACTTTTCTGTATTTTCCGAGTTTCCTGTATTATGTGTGTATTAATTTTGTAACTAGAAAAAAATAAATCCTATTTTTTTTCCCAAAATGATTGTGTGTTGTGAAACTGGGGATACTTTGAAGGAACCAATTCTGGACTTAGTCTGTTACACAGAATTTCTTGATGTTTCAGGATGAGCCAAGTTTACTGGCCCAAGGAGCAATACCTTTGACAGTCACATTCAACCAGGAAAACAAGGGTCATTCAGCTTGAATATGGAAAGAAGTGTCCTAATATTGGAATTTCTTGTCCGTGTAGGGCAATGTCTTTCAAGCGTTTATACTGTGACATAGAGCGAGAAAAGCATACTACATTGTGAGCCAGTACATACACACACACACACACACACACACAATAAACTTTTCACATAAAATATTTATCGTTTATCTGCAATGCACTGTTACTTTTGCTCGATTATTTAAAGACAAAATACAAGTCACAAGCCACCAAATTGGTTTCATGATCTGTTTATGGGCTGCTACTTGCAGTTTGCAAAAGTCTGTCCTGGGCAGGAGGTAGAAGCGGCCTTTCTACGGGTGATGGCCGGGCTGTGGGAGGCCGGGAGGGCGGGAGGGCAGGAGGGCAGGAGTGTTTCCACAGTAACTGATGTTGATTCCAGGTGTTACTCATTATGATCTTAGGGAGGAGGTGGGAGGGATAATAATGTAAATACTTATTATTTGTGATCATATGGTATCTTTATGCCACTTTTAGCACATGCTCATTAATATCCTATTACATTTAGACATGCATCTCCCTAGTCTGGCTTAGAATGTAAATTCTGGGATCCCCCTTTGCTTGGAGTTGATGTCACTGTGTAAAAGCACGAGGGTGGCATTCTTTCATTCAACAAATATTTGCTGGGCACCTTCTGTGTGCCAGGCACTGTGCTAGGCTCTGGGGATAAAGCAGAAAACAAGGGAGGACAGATCCCTGTCTTCCTGGATCTTACCTTCTAGTGGTGGTGAATCTCAGTGTAGCCCACTGTCTGGGTCACCTTTGACCAGACACTCCTGGCAGTTCTTTCCATGTCTTGGAGTTGGCCTTTTTCATCCCTCTTCCCTATATGTGCCTTCACCCTTCCCCTTCTGTTCTCCCCCACCCAGTCTCCCATCTTATGTCCCAGTCTCTCTCTGCTTATTGAAATCCTACAATCATTTTAGCTCCATATGAGACATACCCTCTCCCTCCTCTGGTTCTATGACCTCTGTCTTTTAACAGTAGTCAGTCATATGGGCCTTGCTCATTTGTTAAACATGTAACCTCTTCTTTTGCCAGGTTGCTTGACACTATCTTGTAGTGTTATTTCCTGGGCAGGAGTCTAGTCTCCCCAGGAAGGCTAGCACCGTGGTTTACCCTTTTACCTCAGCACGGTGCCTTGCAAAAAGCAGGTGTCATTAACTATGCAGGTAGTCTCCCACATGGCCCTGCAGAGATGTTTGCTTTCTCAGTAGATTCAGCTCTGCACTTCCTGACTCTGCAAGCACAGCTTCTACTTGCTTACGCTTCCAACTGTGCCTTGGGTTTGGACCTGGCCACCCTTGTTTGTCCTACTTCTGTCTCTCTTGGATCCACCAATCCTCCCTGAATGGCAGGTTCAGGCCTGCTCCAGTCTTGAGCAACTCAGACCAAGGCTGGGTGTGCTGGGAAACAGCATACATGGTTGTTACAAGCCTGCTGCGAGTGAGACAGACCTGGGCCAGAGGCCCAGGTGTGCTGTGTGCTAGCTGTGTGACCTTAGGTGAGTTCAGTAACTACTCAGTCTGTTTCTTTCGTCACCTGAAAACGGGCGATGATGATGCCAGCTTCCCAAGGTGGCTGAGAGGATCACCTGTGATAATGCATGTGTGGCACCTGGCAGGATGCCTGGTACACATTGAGTGTAGCCCCACTGACGGTGGTGATGATGAGCTCACACAGTAGCAGGGGACCCTCTTGCCACCTCCTCCCTGAGTCCTCCTCCTCAGGTCTTCAGGTCTCTTTGCTTGGAGTGTTCCTCCTTGGTTCTGATTTGTTTTCTGAGAATTAAGCAAGAGTCCTGGGGCATCTGAAGCCTTTTCTTTTATTGCCAGTTCTCTTTCACGGACTTGATCCTGCCGCAGTCCCTCAGCTCAGCTACCATAGCTGAATCCTGCCGAGAGAGTTAAGTTCAACCCCATCAGCCACTTCTTGGGTGTCCCTGAGCTTACAGCCCACACCTTCACCTTCAGCTGAACTAGAGGAGAGCCCATGTTTGCCTACTCCCTTGCCTCTGGCCTCACTATTCCTGTGGTCCCCGCTGGCTGCCCCCTCCAGCCACTGGGAATGGGGGTGCTCCCTCCTTCCCTCTGTGCTCCAGTGCTCTCTCACACCTCATTTCTCAGCAACCCCCCATTCCTTGCCCTCCCTTCTCCTTTACTCGCTCTCTCTTCCCTGCCAAAAAATCACATTGGAGAAGCTTGTCTGCAAGGGTTCCATTCAACTTGTTCTACATTAATGCTCCACTATGGTGACCCACTGCTGAGTCTTTCACTTGTAATGTAATCTAATAATTTACATACACTTCGCAAGCAATGCTCTCAGAGACTCACAACCTGCTTGAAATTGCTGTGCTGTTACAGTATTTGAGCTGATGAGAGAGCAGCGTGAGAAAGAGTAGTTATTGGTACCACAATGGTATTGGGTAAACTCGGGAAAATAATGTTAGCACAATGTGAGGGTGTGCTGATGAATTATAATATCCGTTCTCAGAGAATCAATTAAATTTGGTAAGGGTCTTTTATTGATTTTGGCTTGTAATTGGACTAGGATAGGTCAAAGTATAGTAGGGCTAGAAGCATATCAAGCTAGAGGAAGTAGTTGAACTAAGAG